CACAAGTGCAGAGAATACCGTCACGACGTCTTGCAGGGAGCCTTGTGCCTCCAAGAGTGGCACCATCCACCACGAGGGTTACGTCATCGGCATAGGCTAAAACCTGGGCACCCCGGAGCACAGGGAGATCTGACAGAATAATAGCGGGCTGAGAATTGTTCCCCGGAGGACACCACGCGAGATAGGGTGGAACGTGAAGATAACTCCTCCAACCGCCACTTTGAATGGATAGCCCTGTAGATAGTTTTGGTACCACTCCAACGCCGGACCAGAGAGACCTAGTCAAGCCAGGCTCTGAAGGACAGCAGAATGAGACGCAGAGTCAAATGCACTCTTGATGTCGAAGAATGCTGCAAGGAGCATTCTTCTCTGGCGATAAGTATCAATTATTCGATGTTCCAAGGATAGGAGGCAGTCTAATGTGCTTCTTCCTGGCCGAAATCTACTGAAACCCTCAGGTAGGAGACCTGAGGTTTCCACCACCCATTGTAACCAGGTGAGAACAAGACATTCCATCAGTTTCCAGAGACATGGAAGCAGACTTATGGGTCGATATGAACTCGGGACAGATGGATCCTTCCCCGACTTGGGCAATGGAAAAAGAATGGCGTGTTTCTGCGCTCAACCTCTGGAACAGCTCATGTCCAGGGGTCCCCACTGCTTTATGATTGATGTCCAACTGGAGGATCTCGAGATATACCGGTCAACTCTTGGACGTAACCTTGTAATAGCCATGGCTTAAAAGGTAGCGAGGTGCGACAGAGCACCCACCGTCAACTCTGTCTGTTTGGCCTGTTTTACTGCAGTTTGCACAGAGTGCTGCATTTGGCAGGTGAGGTGACTGTGGCCCAATAGATGACAAGCATAGCATCATAACACAGGAAAGTTATAGGGCTGGTTCTGACACGAGATCCATTGTAGTGCCACCTGGTCAGGTAGAGGCTTATCGCACTTTTCACGGACCATGGATGTCGGCCCTGCTGCTGTACGAATCCTGGTAACTTCCAATAATCCCACTGATGCACCCCCTAACACCTGCAGAGCAGCCTGGATGTCATCCACTTCAACACTTGGGTCAATTGGGCCAATCTTCCCATACCGGGCCCCGAGACTCCTCCTGCGACAATATCTGTTGGCACCTGAAAGGCCAGTCCACCAACTTGATAATGTCGGATATACAGATGTGCAACAGAACCTCCTTTCTGATGTGTAGCTTCAGTGCTGCACTGCTACCCAGGGTACACATGGTCTCAGGCAGGCAATATGACCACAATACCAAAGCCTCAATTGCTGCACTTAAGGTATGAGGATTTGCAAACACACACTGACCTGTTGCCGACTGGATTAGGATAACCACAAATGAGGAATGAGGTACCACAGGAGGAGGGTCTTCTGAAGGCGAAGACATTCTCTTAGCATCTCGCTCTGGGGCAGCATCAGCCGACTCATTTTCCAACAGACGTTTGTCTCTCTGGGACATGCTGTCAACGTCCATGGAGCCCCCCTGCTCAGGGAGGCGTAGATCAGGGAGGCATCCATTAGGCCTCCCCTGGTGCTGGGAGCCCCTGGGTAACTGCAGTGAGTGCACACTGGCCCAAAGAAGCCAGCTGAATTCAAAGTTGAGCTCCGGATGAGGTGAGAAAAGAAAGCACAGCCTGGAGCTATCAGTCTGCACACCAAGATGGCCGACCCTACCAGAGCTCTTATTTACATGCTGGCCGGTGACCAATGCGCTTGCCTTGGAAGCTTGGGCATCGGCTGCCTTCTTGAAGTTGTTTGCGCCGATTCTGAAGGAAGCAATGTCTCTGTTCTTTTCTTCTCACCCCGTGTACTGACAGGCAGTGGTCGTCTACTCTTTGGAATCTGCTTGGGCCATGGCTCTTAGATTTTCGTCCCCTTTTTGTTCGTTGCTGTTTGCAGAGTCTGCGATGGTGCATTTTCTGTGGGCGTCTTCGTTTAGTTGCCGTCCTAAGTCGGACTTATTGGTTCTCTGGGGATGCGATGGTGGTCCTGCCAGAAAGGGCTGTGCCAGGGCTCTTTTTTTTTCAGTTGTCATAAGCCAGTGACGTCTAGTCGGTGCAGTGCTTGCTCTGAACATTCATCGGGCTCTCGTAAGGGTCATAGATAATTTCGTGGTTCACCCTGTTTATGGGGTGATGGGGGGAGGCTCACGCTGTTTGCTCACTCCTGGTCCCACGATTCATAGGCGTTCGGGTCTTTTCCTCTGGCCTGTGGTGGCGTTGGGTGGCTCTTCCTTCGGGAAGTTCAGGACAGGCCTCTTTCCCTGCCCCCTGTTGAGTCATCCTGGAGTGGGTACATTTGGGCGTGGTCGAAATTATGGTGTCCCTGAGGTGCGTTTCCCGCCTGTTTCCAGTTCCGAAACAGGACTATGCAGACCTGACGTTCATTTGGGACTTGTACCATCTGAACCCCTGGGTCTTTTGCCCTTCCTTTCCGATGGTCACTGTCTCTGGACTTCCAGGACACGTATTGGCATGTCCCGATTCATCCAGGATTCAAGGACTGGCTCAGTTTTGTCATGGGACGGCACGCTTAATGTTTTCGTTGCCTTCCATTTGGCTTGAATCTGTCGCCTCGTATTTTTACACACCTTAATCTTATCATGGTGACCCATTTGCATCTGTTTGCATCAAACACGGAGACAAGCCGGTCCGCGTATCTGCTCGCCAGAGGTTTGGTTCTTTCCCAGCTCGCCGGGTTTGGGTTCTCGGTGAACTGGCGTATGTCCCATTTGTTTCCCTCTAAGGTTTGGACTTGGCTGGGTCTTGTGTGGGAATCTTGAAGCATATCCTTGTCTCTCCCTCCAGCAGCATTGCTGCGGCTGCAGTCCTGCCTTCGGCTGTTTTTGGAGGGCACCTGGGTCACTTGTCGGTTGCTCGAGCAGCTGTGCGGGAGTCTGAACTTTGCTGTGTTGGTCTACCCATTGGGTCGGATCTGGCTTTGGCGGCTGTTCTGGTTTCTTTGAGGGTGTCCTTTCCGCCGCTTTTGTGATAGCTGGGTTCGGACCCCGGGGGCTTTGCGTCAGCTGCTGCTTAGCAGGCTTCCTCTTCGTTTTTTTGGGGGTTCAATGTCATGGCGCTTAGTCGAGCCCTCGTTCGATGTGTTCATGGATGCGTCATCTCTCTGTTGGGGCTTTGTGACCAGTGCTTACCAGGCTGGTCAGGATCGGTGGGGTCCGTCCTTCCATCAGGCTCACAGCATGGTGCTGGAGTTTGCGGCAGTGTGGCTTTCACTTCATAGGGTTTGTGTTGTTTGCGGATCGATGATTCGGCTCCATTCAGACTGCTCCCTAGTGAATCATTGTATGATTCATTGGTCGCTTCAGGTGACTTGTCTGCCGAGTTCTCAGGGTTTGGCTCTCCTAGCCATTCATATCCAATGGGGTGTCCAACGTCCTGGCAGACGGCCTGTCCCGTTTCATTCCTCTGTCCATGGAATGGACAGTCGACGATGCCTCGGGACCTTTAGCTCTGCTGGATGTTCGGGCGCCTGGAGGTGGACCTCTTTGTATCGGCGTGCTCAAGGTGTCTCACGGTTTATGTGGCGCCCTTCCCCGACTGCGAGGCCGTCGCAGTCGATGCCTTTTGACTGGACTGGTCAAGGTGGGGTTACCTGTACATCTTCCTTCCAATTCGGTTGTTGCTCCATGTCCTGGCACGCTTAGAGACTTACCAGGGGAAAGTGGCTCTGTTGGCCTCTTGATGGCAGCCCTAGCCGTGGTTTCTGGTGCTGCTTGCTTGGTGTCTGAACCCGAGGATCTTCCCGCGGCTCTGCCTCTTTCAGCAGATCGGTCCGGTCCAGTATGTGGCTGGTTCGATCTTCTATGATCTTTCGCGTCTGGTCTTTTTGATGCAGGTTTATTACCACTTGCATGGTGATCAGGTGGCTTTGTTAAAGGCGTTTCACCTGCAAGTCTCATCTCGGCAGCAGTATGAATTTTCCTGGTGGTCCTTTTGGCATTTCTTGACTCTTCGTAGGTTGTCTTCGATTTCTGATTGGGTTGTTTTGTCCTTTCTCTCTTGGTTGCTTCAGGACCATCATCGTATACCGAGTACTGTCGCCTCTTATCGTGCGGTGCTGGCGGAACTGTTTCAGCTTGCGTTCAGGTGTATGTCACTTCTGCTCCATTCTGCAAGCTTTCTATGGCATTGTTTCACCTTCAGCTGGCTCATGTGCCGCCTGAGCCATCCTGATCGTTGTACCAGGTGCTCTCTTTTCTTTCTTCTCCTAGATCTTTTTTTCTTTCTTCTCCTAGTAGAGGAGCTTCATGCTCTCCTCTGGCAAAAGGGTTTCTGCTCTTTCGGTTCTGGTGGTCGTTTTGTTCGTTTGCAACCATCTCCTCTTCTGGTGACGAATGAGACTGCTGCTTTTGGGAGGGGTCCTTGGGTTGTTGATGCTTGGTTGGTTCAGTCAGGGGTGCATCATGCTTTGTGCCTGGTTGCGGCTCTTTGCCGTTACTTGCGTGCCACGACCTCTGTGGCAGGGGATACTCTTTGGGTTGATCAAAAGGTACATTGTAGCATAATTGAGGATTATTTCTAGGTATAATGTAAAATATGCGTTCAATATAACAACCATAATATTAGATGATAGCAATGAATACAATGGTGCAGTTGAATGGCTTAGGTACATATATTGGGGAATTGTGTGGCACAAGATAAAGTGCAAGTTTAAGGCACTAGGTAGGAAAGTATGAGGATGAAATTAGGTACATTTTGGTTTCATTTTTGAATAAGGCGTAGGTTGGACAGCATTTCAATTCGTTAAGGAGTGAGTTCCATGGACCAAGTCTCTATATTTGCATTGAGTGTTTGCACAGATTTAGTTTGACTGGGGATATCAAAGTTATATTTCTTTTTTTGTAATGGAATTTCTAATAGAATTTCTAAATCTATTAAAAATAAATTCTATTAGAATTCTACTAAGAAGAGAAAGATCACCAGAAAATATTACTTGATCACGCGAGAGAGAGAACTGACCTTGATGAAGAAGACGGTTTTGTCGGTGTAGGAGTAGTAGACAGCGTCCAGGTCCCTGGGCAGAGGGCGGGAGCCAGAGTCAGCTGGCAAGAACTCGTCCTTTATGCGTCGAGGGTAACCAGAGAGGCAGCACCCTGCCGACCCCTTGCTGACGTCGTACCCATACACCTGCCGGAACACCAGCAGTGTTACACTCGCCTCACCAACACTACATAGTTATGGCCACAATGGGACGCAACCGGATTCTTTTCTGGTGGTATGAAAGTTATGGTATCTGGCCCCAAGCTAGTAGTGGCTTTCAAGAGGTGAGCTCAGTAATGCAAGTAAAATAAAAAGGGGAGGTACATTAAAAATACACAAGTTCGTCACTTTAACCATATATAATTAGTCTTCCCACCACCGTATATATATATATAAGTCTTAAACGGAAAATATTAGTACACTATGTACGTCTGAAGACACTGAACACTCGGCGAAGCTCACTCCGTGCAGTCTTGTACCGGGTTTCCTTATCCATGGCACTACCCTCAGCAGGTACCAGGAAACAACGATGAGTCTACCCTGGCCACGGGCCAGCCAAATCACAATTCCACTAGGTGCCTCGTCGTGAAGGCCCACAACCACAGTCCAGCCTGTTGCTGGCAGGTACCAATCAGCCTCGCGCTGTTAGGCCACTTCACAAGTGAATACTAGGGTTGCGAGCCCTAGTATTCGTGTAACTCGCTGGTTACTCTCCTCTTTCGGCCCCACAGTCGGCTGTCTCTTCCACCAGCCAGCCCCGGGTACGGCCCGTCACTGCCACTCCTCAGGCAGACAGTTGAACACACTACAGTTCTCGTCCGGCGGCGGCTCACTGCTTCTGTAAAGCAGACTGGTGTAGAGACCTTGGCTGCCTTGGGTAAACTGACGCTTCGTACATCACAGCAGCCCCACTTTGACTCTGTGAATTCAGACACGTCATCAGTACTCTGGGATACTACATGGGACCACTAGGAAACATCACTTACTGGCTTAGCCACAAACGCACACCTTTTTGCTCCATAGATGGCGCTGATTGTCTAAGCGTCACCTCACCAGAGGTCAGCACCGGCTACCTCACGAGCCGACTAGGACAGGAATCCAGCACCTATTGCCGGTATATATTCCCGTCATCACTAGATGGCGTTGACCATGTTGTGGGGGTTTTCGGGAGCGGACTCACAGATGGCGTTGACTTCACTGCTCCGTGCTCTGACAATGAACTGTTGGCATTCTTTCTAAGATCAGATATTATGTACCCCGCCCTGCCCTGGTGACTCTCTATTACTCCCTCATCTATCCATATCTCAACTATGGTATTTGTGCTTGGGGTTCTAATACCCAAAACCATTTACGTTCTCTAATTATTCAACACAAAGCTGCTATTAGGACAATATCCAACTCTGGTCCCAGACATCACTCGGTATCCTTACTCAAATCTCTGAATATGTTGGATATTAAGTCACTGCTCATTCTCTCATGTGTATTATTCATATATAAAACGCTGAACTGTTATGCCAATCCTGATCTCAAAAGCTTCATAGAAGGTTGTAACAGAACCCATGAGCACCACACTCGAAATAAATACAGTTTTGATATTCCTAGAGTACGACTTAATCAAACCAGAAATGCTCTTCAAATCAAGGGACCCAGAATGTGGAATGACCTTCCCAACCATGTTAAAGACTGTACCTCTCTCAACCAGTTTAAGATAAAAACGAAGCTATACCTAATAAATTCCCTGTAACCTACCTTACCCTTCTATTGTCAACCAATGTCTGTTTTTTTAAATGACGCAGTTTGTCGACCGAATTGTATTTGTGCTGCTTTTTCAGCCATGTTCCCCCCCTTCTTATCTCTTTTTTTTATTTGTTCTCAACTCATTTTATTCTTTATGCTCAATTAGTATTAAGCTTTAGTCACTTAAGTTTTTCATGCCCGAAACGCTTTGCGTAATAGTGGCTTTAGGCATTGTTTGTACTAGCCCTATCTATAAATCCATCACTCTTTGTAAAATCTCTTGTATGTATGTACCTTACCTAAATAAACATTTGATTTTATTTTATTTTATTTGATTTGATTGATGAACTTGTGTTCGTAACATACACTCAGGTCACCAATACTACACTCAGGTCACCAACACTACACTCAGGTCACCAACACTACACTCAGGTCACCAACACTACACTTTGGTCACTAATACTACACTCAGGTCACCAACACTACACTCAGGTCACCAATACTACACTTTGGTCACTAATACTACACTCAGGTCACCAACACTACACTTTGGTCACTAATACTACACTCAGGTCACCAACACTACACTCAGGTCACCAACACTACACTCAGGTCACCAACACTACACTCAGGTCACCAACACTACACTCAGGTCACCAGTACTACACTCAGGTCACCAACACTACACTCAGGTCACCAATACTACACTCAGGTCACCAACACTACACTCAGGTCACCAGCACTACACTCAGGTCACCAACACTACACTCAGGTCACCAGTCACTACTACACTCAGGTCACCAACACTACACTCAGGTCACCAACACTACACTCAGGTCACCAACACTACACTCAGGTCACCAGGTACTACACTCAGGTCACCAACACTACACTCAGGTCACCAACACTACACTCAGGTCACCAACACTACACTCAGGTCACCAGTACACAGTCAGGTCACCAACACTACACTCAGGTCACCAACACTACACTCAGGTCACCAGCACTACACTCAGGTCACCAACACTACACTCAGGTCACCAACACTACACTCAGGTCACCAATACTACACTCATGTCACCAACACTACACTCAGGTCACCAGCACTACACTCAGGTCACCAACACTACACTCAGGTCACCAGTACTACACTCAGGTCACCAATACTACACTCAGGTCACCAACACTACACTCAGGTCACCAGCACTACACTCAGGTCACCAACACTACACTCAGGTCACCAACACTACACTCAGGTCACCAACACTACACTCAGGTCAACACTACACTCAGGTCACCAACACTACACTCAGGTCACCAGCACTACACTCAGGTCACCAACACTACACTCAGGTCACCAGCACTACACTCAGGTCACCAACACTACACTCAGGTCACCAGCACTACACTCTACACTCAGGTCACCACACAGGTCACCAGCACTACACTCAGGTCACCAACACTACACTCAGGTCACCAGCACTACACTCAGGTCACCAACATTACACTCAGGTCACCAACACTACACTCAGGTCACCACTACACTCAGGTCACCAACACTACACTCAGGTCACCAACACTACACTCAGGTCACCAACACTACACTCAGGTCACCAACACTACACTCAGGTCACCAGCACTACACTCAGGTCACCAACACTACACTCAGGTCACCAACACTACACTCAGGTCACCAGCACTACACTCAGGTCACCAGTACTACACTCAGGTCACCAACACTACACTCAGGTCACCAACACTACACTCAGGTCACCAGTACTACACTCAGGTCACCAACACTACACTCAGGTCACCAACACTGCACTCAGGTCTCCAGTACTACACTCAGGTCACCAGTACTACACTCAGGTCACCAACACTACACTCAGGTCACCAACACTACACTCTGGTCACCAACACTACACTCCGGTCACCAACACTACACTCAGGTCACCAACACTACACTCAGGTCACCAACACTACACTCAGGTCACCAACACTACACTCAGGTCACCAACACTACACTCAGGTCACCAACACTACACTCAGGTCACCAGTACTACACTCAGGTCACCAACACTACACTCTGGTCACCAACACTACACTCAGGTCACCAACACTACACTCAGGTCACCAACACTACACTCAGGTCACCAACACTACACTCAGGTCACCAACACTACACTCAGGTCACCAACACTACACTCAGGTCACCAGCACTACACTCAGGTCACCAACACTACACTCAGGTCTCCAGTACTACACTCAGGTCACCAACACTACACTCAGGTCACCAGTACTACAGTCAGGTCTCCAGCACTACACTCAGGTCACCAACACTACACTCAGGTCTCCAGCACTACACTCAGGTCACCAGCACTACACTCAGGTCACCAACACTACACTCAGGTCACCAACACTACACTCAGGTCACCAGTACTACACTCAGGTCACCAGTACTACACTCAGGTCACCAGTACTACACTCAGGTCACCAGTACTACACTCAGGTCACCAGTACTACACTCAGGTCACCAGTACTACACTCAGGTCACCAACATTACACTTAGGTCACCAACACTACACTCAGGTCACCAACATTACACTCAGGTCACCAGCACTACACTCAGGTCACCAGTACTACACTCAGGTCACCAACACTACACTCAGGTCACCAGCACTACACTCAGGTCACCAACACTACACTCAGGTCACCAACACTACACTCAGGTCACCAGCACTACACTCAGGTCACCAACACTACACTCAGGTCACCAACACTACACTCAGGTCACCAACACTACACTCAGGTCACCAACACTACACTCAGGTCACCAACACTACACTCAGGTCACCAACACTACACTCAGGTCACCAGCACTACACTCAGGTCACCAACACTACACTCAGGTCACCAGCACTACACTCAGATCTCCAGCACTACACTCAGGTCACCAACACTACACTCAGGTCACCAACACTACACTCTGGTCACCAACACTACACTCAGGTCACCAGTACTACACTCAGGTCACCAACACTACACTCAGGTCACCAGCACTACACTCAGGTCACCAGTACTACACTCAGGTCACCAACACTACACTCAGGTCACCAACACTACACTCAGGTCACCAACACTACACTCAGGTCACCAACACTACACTCAGGTCACCAACACTACACTCAGGTCACCAGTACTACAGTCAGGTCACCAGCACTACACTCAGGTCACCAGTACTACACTCAGGTCTCCAGTACTACACTCAGGTCACCAACACTACACTCAGGTCACCAGCACTACACTCAGGTCACCAACACTACACTCAGGTCACCAACACTACACTCAGGTCACCAACACTACACTCAGGTCACCAACACTACACTCAGGTCACCAACACTACACTCAGG